TCATTCTGATGAAGAATTCTCATATTGCCATTGACATTCTGCATGATTTCCTGAATCCTTTCTGCCGTTGGTGCTACTCCAGTCAACGCTGCATCTGCCTGCATCTGAGCAAGGACTTGGGGATGTGCTTGAGTGACTGGTTCTAACATGTCCATCCAACTGCTCATAAGCCTTTGGAGTAAAATCTGGAATCTTGTCATCCATTTCATCATGTCAGCTGATCCTCGATTGAATCGCACGAATTGCATAAACCTGTATAGGAATACATTGGTTGATCCTTTCACGAAATATGGTCGTAGTACTCGTTTGAAGTAATCTACTCCTGCTCCTGGTGGCTCATTAGCCTTCAATGAATCTCTGTCTAATACACGTTTGTATACTGCTGCTTCTCCTTCTAATCTATTTCTCAAAGCTGGTCCTCTCTTCTCTTCTTCCAGCTCGGTGATATCACACCAATCGTCTATGGCATCCTCATAGGAAAACCATGAAGTCTTTCCATCATAAGATGGGGGCACCTTTGTAGTGACCTGTGTTGTCATTGCTATTGCTGCTGGTTCTCTTCTCACATGCCTATTCACGTAGGCTGCTGGCTCATAAGCCACATCCGCATCAGGCTCTTCCCAGTCGTCAATCCAATCCATGGCCGTTTGCCCACAAGCAATTCTATGCCTAGGAAAGGAGCTCACCTGGGTCTTCCAGGATCACTGCTCCGCTACCACTGAAAGAGTGACTAGGGCGTACACGGTAGAGGTGCAGACCGCTAGTGTCTTTTACTCACGCAGAGTCTTATCCTCTTAGGTCCATTGACCCTCTCTTGAGCCTTGTAGCAGTCAAGCATGGACACACTATATCAGCTGTTGGAGTGGAACCCTGTACAGGAGGCTCTACTTTTCAGGGGGGGGGGGTCTGTATTGAGAAATCAATTCGGGGGGGGGGGGTGAATTGAATGATCAATTATTAGACCCGGACGCGCCAACACTTGCTTCGCAAGACAAACTGGAGGTATCCCCTAAAGGGCTACCTACCTTTCGTGACTTGGACAGGTCGTCTGTATTAAGCGCCCGGCAGCCGCCCCCTTCTCGCTTCACATGCTCTGCGCCATCCAGTCATGGCTCTGTGCTTACAGCTGCAGGGCCGGAGCGATTGCATTCTGCCAATGGACATGGCCGGCATTTGCAACAAATATCTCGCGCAAGAAGCCATTTGCGACAATTTTTTGGCAGTTCAACAGTTTTAGACGGTCTTTTAGAGACTACCTGGGTTGCGCGCAAGAACCACTCAACAATACACAGTAGAGAAGCAATTCAATGCACTTGTGCCTTGTGCCAGGCATTTGCACGTAGTTATGTAGTGGTTGCGGGCAACCCGGTTCTGTCAGTGTTCGGCCCACAGCCTGAACTACTGTAAACTGAAGGATATGTTTCTTGTGCCAACGAGCAAAGCTCCTCTCAAACAGAGACCTTAGCCAGGCAGGGAACATCTTCACTTCGAACCATAGAGCGTGAATGTTTCTGGTGCGGCAAGTTCCGCACCGTTTCAATTTTGCCCGCACGGACTCAGGCCTTTGAATATGTGCTACGATTTGGTGAGACTGAAAGCATTCCCATGTTTCTTCGCACAAGTTGGCCAGCAGCTTACTGCGAACCATGCCAAGCATGCGCTGCCCCAAACATTCTCTCAATCACACCGAGGCCCAATGGATCTTCAATCACAGGCCTGAGTTTTCGATTGAGTTGAAAAAAACCTGGGTGGAAACTTTGGAAACACACTCAATGTGAACCCGACTTGTCAAGAACTAGACTTACGGGTTCATTGAACATGTTTCCTGTCCCTCTCCAATTCACACATCCGCTGCCTAGGAGGTCCCGACCTGTGCGATGAGCGCATGCAAAGCAGAGCGGAAATTGGGTTGCATCGCCTTGGCGCAAACATGCTCGTGTCAAAGCCAGTCTACAATTAAAGCAGCCAGGCGTACGTACATTTCATACATGGTGTGCACATGGACCTGTCTATTTCTGAGGATCCTATCCTTTTTTGATGCATGCTGCATACTCGCTAGGAGGTCACTCAGAGATGCCATCGTGCAGAACTTGGACAATGTTGACCAGTCGTTACCCGCTACTGGCCTGCAACGTCAACGTTCGACAAGGCATGGGATCAGTGATGGTGATGGAGCTAGAGACCTCCATGCGGTGCGCAACTGATCAGCGACACCTGCACTGCTCATGTGCGCCTCCAATCCCCCATACTGCTGCAATTGGAACAGGTCCACCTGCCACAGGAGAGCAGTTGCAGGGAGGAGGACTGTCTGTGCCAATGATTGTGCATGCCCTGTATTGACCTCAGATCTTGCCCTCGTGTTTGAAGCTCTTGACATCTGCCCAGTATTCACACTTCGCTGGTATTGAGTTTGAGCTCTTTGGACATCCCATTGGCACTTTACAATCTTCAATTCTGCTGCAATTACAGTCTTTTGGGTGCCCTGTGTTCACCCCCTATTATGCACAGCACTTGGGGCATCCTATTGATAGCTTCTGCTGGTTTCCTGGCTTGCTTGTGCTTGGGTTGGTTGCTTGGCTGCTGTGCTTGGATTTGGTTGCCTTAACTTGCTTGCTTGCTTGCTTGTTGGCCTGCTTGTGGGTGGCTGGCTGGCTGGCTGGCAGCCAGTGCAACTTTGACCTGGAAGGCTGCAGTGTTAAAATGCTTGAGGCACTGGCCACCGCACACAACGAAAATTTGACTTGGATGCTGTTCAGCTGCAGCAGCAGCAGCAGCGTAATTTGAAGCATACAAGCTGGCCACTTGTCAGAAGCCTTGAAAGCAAATAACACAAAAGCAAGCAACAACGAAAACAAGCAAACAACCAATAAAAACAACAGTGACCCCGGAAACAAATAAACACAAACGAACAGCAACTAGCACAAAGCAATACAACACAGTTCTCAAATGTTCTCAAGTTCTCAACGCATATCAAAAGGGGAAAACAAACACAACATTTAAAAAAACACCCAAATTGAATCAAAGGATTCAGAAGTCACTGCCAGGATTGCCGAAAAGTTTTGCGAAGATCAATGGTCGGTCATGCCGTGGCAGTGAGGAATGGAATTGAACTATTCAGGATGCACTGCATGTTCTACGCAAGCTTTAAGCAAATCAAGCACATGAATTTCATGAGAGGCCTAAAGATACAGCATCGAGATGTTCCAAAGAAGAACATCAAAAGGTGCAATTAGTTTTGCACGAGCTGTGCCAAAGTAGAGATTCCTGGACAACTGTATGGAGAAACAACAGTATTTGTACAGAAAAGTAGAGATATTACTTCCCTGCATTTAACATGGACCCCCAAAACCACTGGGTTAGTTGTAATTAGAGGAAAATGATGGAACATGGTCTTCCACCGGTCAATTCTTTGGTTACATGTTATTTTGCGGGAGAGTAGTTAAGTGGAAATTTCTAGAGAGAAACATTTTGTAACGACAGGCTGCAAAAACACATAAACAAGGAGTTTCTACTGCACGCATCCTTGCGCTCTGTCGAGATGCCTGCACAGGTCTGAATATGCTAAACCACTGCCGGCTGACAGTGATGGTATGATCGCAAGCCATAGCGCTTTCCTGCTGATTCTTTAAGCCCGAAGCAAGAAGGCCATCGCCACTCGAGTCAAAGCATCTGTTGCAAAGAGAGAGAGAGAGAGAGAAGTATCTACACAACTTCGGAGCATCGCAAATCACCACATTACACAAATTACCACACACCCGTGACCCTTCGTCACCTGACATGTCATCACACACCCTGGCTCGCATCCATTGAAACTTGAACACGCTCTGCCGGAGGTGAGTCTTGTTGTGCAAACACGCTCTGAATGCATTGCAGGTGCAAGTGCAGTGGTTGCACATGCCACAGTTCACCAGAAGAAATCTGACTTTAAAAAACAGGCAAATGATGTGGCATCTATTGGCAATGTATGGTATTGTTCTGACCTCAGGGCGCATGTTGGTGGAAAACTCCCACGCTGAGCTGAATCAACTGAAGCTGAAAATAATCCTAGTGCCCACTGCACCCAACAGGGAGCGCTATATACACAGTAACTCCAAATACAGTATATGCTCAGTAGTTCCAAGTTACTGTTCACGTGCTCTTGGGCCTGGATGATTCAGGTTCTTTGAGCTGTAAATATTGCATATCATACACTCCAATGGGCTACCGTCGGACAAACCACGTGGCCAACCTTCCATAGGCGGCTCTCTGGAAGTAAGAGGTTCACACAAAGCCTTAGCAATTCGGACTCACACCTGAACAGCAGCTGTAAGCACAAAGCGGTAGGCTTCTCTTTGGTCAACACTCTTCAGCATCATGATTTCTCACTACTACATTCCATACCGCAACAATTTGATCGCGAATTCACCTAACAAATCAAAGGAATTTGAAGCAGCTTCAATTCAATTCAGAATAACAGTCAATCGACGACAAGTCCCACATTCCGAAAGAAAATGGGAGAACGGTAGAACGGCAAAAACCTCACCAGTGCAGATTCTGACTTGAGTCGGATTTGACCTTTGTTGACTCTAGTCTACTGTCTTTCCCTTTTTTGCGGTTGTGTTCAGGAACAAAACAACCCTGAGTCAAAATGTCAAAAGCCAGTAAAGCTAGCGTGTTCAATGGGCATTGCATTTGAGTGTTTGAGTTGAGTTTTTGCGTTGAATCTGACTTGTATGAGTAGTTTGTTTGTTTATTTTATTATTTTTGGGGTTGCTGGTGGGGCTGCCTCCTGCCTCTGGAGTTTGAAGTTGTATCATGTTTTCTCCATGTTATCTTTTCTGCGGCCACCACTTCATGACAATGCAAGGTGCGTCTCTTCATCTTTGGCTTCCTCTCTGCGAATGGCCAATGCATCCACCGTTTCAACAACCTCGGCTTTGTCAAGCGCATGTTTGCAGTTTGACAGCCTCAAATGGCATCGTCACAATAACAAATCTCTTTCTGAAGTTTCGCTTCTTTTGGCTCTGTCCCCTCACTCTCCATTTATTACCAAGCAGCTGCCTGCGGCCGTCCCCAAATCTCAAAGAGGAGAAACGGCAGGTCACTGCTGGATCCATCCATTTGGCACCACTGATATGCACGGATGCTCACCTGGCACATCAAGCTTTTTGGAAGACATGTTCTATCGATTTCAAAGGTATCGCCCGGTCGGCCGAGGTCGGCCGAGGTCGCCCAAGGCCTGCATCTTTGCCTCAAAGTCTGCGAGTTTCTCCCCCGTCTCGCCGAAGAGCTCCTCGAACCCCCTCAACCACTGGTTTTGGATCTGAGGATCTGATCTGGTGTGCTGAATATGTTACCATTTGCCGTGCCCAAGAGTCCACACTAACCAGAGCTCAATAGTGACAATAGTGATTCTCCTGTCTTGGAACGTGCAGTGTCTCCTGCGCGTGCTTCCAGGCCAAGGTCACTCTCAAGACCTTTCGGGCGATACACTCTTCTGCGCCCAAGCCATGACCTGAGAATGGAACTCTTCTCGTGGCAGAAGATTTGAAAAGAACTGCGGGCATATTTGAAGCAGGTTCCATGCCGTGAATGTCAACTCCTACTCCTACGGTGAATGGTCCCTAAACCTTGGAGAAGGACCTGTGCTGGGATTGGTTCCCAGATAAATGAACACCACTTGGAAAACTTTGGGCGGCCCACCGTCCAAGTAGAGGATGAACTCCACCATGGATCCAGCGACCAAACCTCGCCACTTGGGCACGATGTCTTCACCATGGACAAAGATGTGACCTGGAAGCAAGTGATCTCTGCGGACTCCAACATGACCGAATCCCATCCAGCGCTTCCGTGCCAAACTGGTCCAGGCCTACTTCTAAAGGAATACCTCTTGACTCTTGAGCGCATCTATTTACGATTGTATTATATGCATAGTTATTTGTATTGTTTTCACATGAAATCTCAGTGTGCACGCATGAGTCCATGGTGCGGCCGCTCTAGATCTTGTTACTCGTAGCGGAGCTCAAAAGCTCTAAGTAGCCCGCGTCGACACCATTTTGCTTTGGTGCTGACCTCTTGCTCGTGCAGAGCTGGAGGACACTGCTTGGTCGTACAGAGCCGCATTGTTCATGGCTTGGACTATTACCTTTTGCATTCGGGTCATTATCATACTGGAATCCGTTTCTTGAGCGTGTTGTGACTACATTGTGATTGGAGCTTGTGGTTGAATTTACTATGTTGCCTCCTGCAGTTTCACATGTTTGCAGGATTTGATCAATATACGGTATACGTTTACAATATGTCTCAGGGATTGCGTGGACCCAACAACCAATGTGGTTCCAAGCTGGCAGAAGAGTATGAGGAACGCGAGCGGCTTGGCTTCCAGACTGTGAGCAAGGATGGGAAAGAATCCTACACGGTACACGCCCCACATAGCCGAGCATGGACGCCATGTCTGTCATCGAAAGGCAGAGATCTCGGCTCAGAAGTTGTTGCAGCATCAGAGCCGCGCTCATCTTCAGGGCCACAGGCAGCAGTGAAGCTGATCGATGCTAATTGTGAAGACTGTTCGAACTGCTTGCAAAACAGTGGCGCCCCTGAAGACTCAAAGTTTGAGGATTAGTTCTTTGAGAAAAGCCGCCGAAAGCCCAACGAGTCAGTTCAGGACTACATCAACAGGAGGGAGAGCGAATATATGAAAAGCTCACAAAGCTGACTCAAGGATATACCAAGTTGTCGGTCGACCTCCAGGCATATTTCCCTATTTAAGGACCGCAGGTGTCACCCCAGCCGGCATGGGAATTCGGAATAAGTATGACTGGGACTGATCCAATTGGACGGGCAAGACCAACCCTCCCGAGGCTGGAAAAGCAACTACGGCAAGGGGGGAAGTGTGGCACTTGGGCCTTCCCAATTGAGGAAGAATGGTCGCTATGACGATTCAGCTCCGGAGAATGAGGAAATGTATGCCATTGGGGATTGGCACGAAGGTCCGAATGAGGAGCAGGAGAGGAGGAGGAGGAGGTCGGAGTGAATGAAATTGAAGAGGAGATTCATGGAGATTCAGTATGACATTGAGGAGATGGAACATGCAGTTGAGACCACGATGATCGAGGACATGAACCAAGAGGAATTGGCATGTGTTTGCATTCACTACCCAAAAAGATGGGAAAGGGAGGGAAAGGCTACTTCATGCTGCTTCAGAATTTGCTCGAAAGCGTCAGGCCGTGAAGGATGGAAAGGTCAATCGAGGTTACAACCCTCATCAGCCCTCTCATTGGGCACAACAGGACAGTCATCGCCTTGATAGCAAATCTACACCAAATGCAGGCCAACTCCAGGATAAGGACACCTTTCCTGGAGCAGGCCGCTCTAGATCGTGCTAGTATATGTATTATATTGCATTTATATGCCATTATCTGCCCTTGTTCAATGCCTGATGTCACCTGCAACTCACGTGCCTTGATGTTTGCCAATATCTGGGTGCTCGATGCTGCACTCCGGCTCTATCCAGCCATGTGTCTTCTTCCACCTCGCCAAGGAAACATTTAACTGCCGCACTTCTTGGAGTCCAATATTTAAATTGCAAACAAAAAAGTCCTGCTCACCAGAGGGTAGAGGACGCTACTAGGGGCTCCTGGCATCGATACTACGTAGGAGCAAGGACGCTACTAGGGGCTCCTGGCCTTACTACTAGGAACAAGAAGCTATTAGAAACAAGAATTACTTTCCTGGCCCATCAGCTCAGGTCCTCACTGTTCACTGCTGCCAAGGCACTCGACCACTTTACCCACCACGGGGCTACTGGTGAGGCGCTGCCGGGCAAAGGCCATAGCGCTTGAGCCGACTCTGTTGCAGGATCTGCCACTGGCCCAAGCTTAGGCTCTCAATACAGCCGAATGCAGCAATGGTTGTCTTAACTGTTTCCTTTTGATGGTATGTCTGTGTATGTAGGTCTTGTATGGTCTTGTGACTGTAGATCTCGGGCTGCACGAGTGTCAAGGGCGGTTCGGTGGCAATTCGGACCGTTTTAGGGTGCCGGACCTCAGGACTGTGAGCTGGACCGTTTGCGCTTAGACCTGGAGCGGGACCTCAACTGGGCTCTGCGGATGTGCCTTCTAGCGTCCTTGCTCCTAGTAGCGATGCCAGGATCCCCTAGTAGCTTCTTATCGCTCCTAGTAGTAAGGTCAGGAGCCCCTTGTAGCGTCCTTGCTCCTAGCAAATCACAACATGCACTTCAAGGCTCTTCAGGCAGAGGCCCCTTAGTCTTCCTCAAGGCTCGTCTGACCTTCCAAGGGCGGCATGTCAGGTCTTGCTCTGCTTCTATTCTCATGGCCGATTTGAACTGCGTGCTCCAGGCACCACTCCAATCACTTCAATGCTCCAAGTGGTTGGTAGCCTCTTCTTCCATCTGGGCGCGTTCCTGCGTCCGGAAATCCTCCAAGGATAGCTGCAATTCCTCCCAGCCTGAGGGTAAGCCGTGCTTCAAGGTGCTTTTGCAAGAGGCAGCATCTGATATGCGTGACCAAGTAGTTGGACCAAATCGCGCTGGACTCTTGCATCATGGGTCAGCTTGGTGAGTTCGCTTCCGAGGTGTTTTACATACAGTATTGCAATTGCTCACTGTAGACTCTAGACTCTAGACTATGGCTGACAGGCCCCCAATCTAGAAAGAAAACTGGGACCCTGACTCTCCATGGGTGCATGCCACTCTGTGATGGCTGCCCACCTCAACATGAACCCAAAGCTTAGGAGTCCTGGGCCCCAAGGAAAACATCTTCCGCTGACGGGCACCTTGTTGTGATCAAATCCTGCATCCCTAACTTGTCAACAGCTAGGGCGGCAAGGCTCTGCCAAAATACCGGGCATTTCTCTTAAGTCCTTCCGCTTCCACTTGTTGCAACACCTTTTCCTGATGCATTGTCGGTATTCTCGGCATACGTGCAATGTGTCAATTGTCGCTCACTGATTTTCCAATTATCCTTCATACACTATGGCCCCATGGCCCCTCCGCAATGCACACTTTGGACCTTCGCTAGCGTGTGTGGCTCTGAGCTCCAAACTCCCGTGCCAAGCGCTCTTTACGTTCCTGCTCTTGACGCAGTCGTTCTTGACGTCTTGCCTGTGCTTTGTAAGCACATTTCTGCCCATCACGGGCCATCAGCGGCCAGCACTCCAACACACACACCATCCACCGGCACCTCTTGTTCACGTTCCTCTGCTTCTTTCATTCTTTCCTCAAAGGTGTCAGCCTTGTAATCATGGGCTCCAAGCTTAGCGTCGTGTCTGAAACTCACTCACGCAGGTCACCAAAGTCAACACAGAATCCAATGGCACCAGGTGAGGTCTCAAACAAAGAAGTGAATTCCGCTAAGCCGGCCTTCTCTCGGACGAAATTACGGCATCGTGCCATCATCTCCTTTTCCAAACTCCAAGCAATGCTGGCCGATCAAATGTCAAGAAAGTGCATGACGGAGTTGACACTTGCCTGCAGCAACCGCTAGTGTGGATCATGTTGCATGTCAGTTGCATGTTGTCGCGACAAAGTCCTCCATTCGGGCCGCAGCATCTTCATCGCTGCCCTGCACTTGCATCCATTGAGTCTCTAGACTCTAGAAATGGGCCTTGAGGCCCAGGCTTGACGCTATTACTTATAAGGCTGAATTGTATCCGAATGCATTCCAGAAATCATGCCTTTCTCCTGGCAGATTTGTAGTCCGCCACATCCTGGTACAGGCAGGCACGCATATTATCTATGCCAATTGCAGCATTTAATAAACACAAAGAAGTATACACGACAGTTCACTAATCTAAACTATACTAGTATAAACGATTATAAACGTAACTCGTAGCCAACACAAAATGGGGTGGTTCCAGGGCGACTGTGAGTACATCACTTCTTTGGCATGGCACTGTGCACTTGAAATGCCTTGGATGTTTCGGTCTCATCCATTACAAGCCCCAACCTCAGGTGTCAAGAAGCAATGCAGCACTTTGAAGCCTTTCTCTTTTCGCTGTTTCTTTTAATTCTTTCGTCTTTCGTGCATTCCTTTCTCTGACCATTTTTGAACGATCCTTCACTTGTCAGAACAATCCGACCCACGTTGCTTGCAAGAAGCTGCTTGAGGTATCGCTGCTGCTTCTCTGAAAAGAGGTGCCTCAACGGCTGCTTGGCAAGTCATGCACAGCAAACCAAACATCTCCAGTATATAAAACCAGCTAGCAAGAGAGTGGTACAACACCCTGCACTTAGACTCATGCTGCCGGTTCCATTCTTATCACAGCACTGCACAGTTCAACTGGTCTGGGTGTCATACAAATGCTTTAACATAGTTCGATTCATTCGTTTCGCAGCCTGGTCAAGGCAGTGAAGGTCAAATGGCCAAGTAGTATGTTAGACGAACCCTTTGATTTCTTGCGCCCGAGCAGCTTTCTCAGAAAGCCCATCGCCAAATTTCTCACTGGAGAGCACATTGTACAGCCTTGACAACACAGGAGGAAAGACCTTAAATGTATTCTCGGCACAACATCTTACAGGCTGGGGCCCACGCTGGCTGACCTGGGACCAAGTGAAGATATCAAGTCGAGAACATGTGGTGTGGCACTGGCTTCCGCCAAGTTGAATACAACTTGAAAACAAACATACAATACAAATCAATACAAGTCTTCAATCAAAGGTTGAAATCTCGGAATACACGTTCGAACCCTTGTAATAAAAGCCCTGCAAAGAATGATCCCCTTTCACATCTCACTATTCAGGTTCGGCTAAGCCAACGAGGGCTTTTGGATGAAACGCCACAGCCGCAATTCGAACGTGGAGAACACCCGGCACAGTGTATATAATAAAGAAACAGTTTCAACTCCCCAGTCAAGCAAGCGCTCAAAGGGGTTTAATTTCATAAATTCACGAAAGGGCAGTAACTATGTATCAAGGAAAAAACAGAAGTTTGTGGAGTTAACGAAAATATAAAGTAGCACTAGTTGGTCGTGATATGACGAATAGTAGATACTACAAATTAGCTGGAATGAGCAAATGATATAATAGGCATGAATTACTTTTGGTTGATTAGTAATTGATCTTTTGTCTCCTGTTTTTGATTTTCTCTTCTTTTGGGCATTACTTCTATCTTTCTCTCATTGGTATCTTTCTCTTGGTGGTTGTCTTATTGCTTCTCTGTTTTCTTCTCTATATATACTTTGAATTCTTGTATTAACATGTGTCCTTATTTGTTCAGTGTTGTCTTTTTCTTGTATCGTCTCTTTATTGTCATTGTTATCATGATGCCATCTGTCTTTTTCGTTGCATTTTTCTATATTTTTTTATTTAAATACTTGCTGTCTTTCCTTCTGTTCGAGGTGATCGTAATATTCCCTTAGCCCTACCAACACCACGTTTGCTAAGACACTTCTTATCATTTTCAATACATTCACCTTCTCTCTTTTCGAGTTGCTTTTTGTTTTGGCATGGGAATTCTTCAATAAGAACTATCTTGCAATGTTCAACACCGAACTCATCAAACCATTTCATAGAGTTAGGATGGTGTTTTGCTGGGTGTGTATTGTTTAGATAGGGTCAAAAATCTATTTCAGTTAGTTTTTCAGTTGTTGAACTGATGTAGCAATTATTTGAATCAACAACAGCTATCTTATAAACTTGTCCCTTTTCATATCTCTTCAAACCTAAATACATAATATCAAACCGTTGTTTCGTTATGATGATATGTATGGCGTAATGTCCAAATGGGAGACTCTCAAAATGTGAATACCAGTAGCGTTTGTTATTGTAGGTGCTTAAAGAATATTTAGTCTGATTAATGCTATAGATTTGATAGTACTTACTTCTGATAGAGTTAAAAGCGACTTCTTCTTTACAGTTTCTATTCAATGTCTCTTCCTAAGTTTTGTAACTTAATGTCCACCTAGGATTAATCAATATCTCCTGAATAAAGCTAAGCAAATCCCAGAACAGATTATTGAGTTACCACCAAATAAAGCTATATAAATGTTTTCACCCCTGGCCCTAGGTATCCCAAATCCAGCCTTTAAAAAATGTACCAAATCCAGCCTTTAAAAAATGTCCATTCTTGTACGTCTTCTCAATCTAATCCCAATTTCATCCCCCTTGGTGAACTCTTCTTCAAGAAGCTGACAAGGAAAAAGATCCAAATGAACCTAGGGTGATTTCTTTTAAAATCCCTTATTAAAAAATCTTGAACAAAGCTATGAAAACAGTTCAGCAAGGGTACCCCTCATGAGGGCCCAAGTACAAAATAAAGATTGACCCTAAATACAGCTAAGGACCCCTGATCCTGGTGAGGATTCCTGCTGGCTGATCCTGGTGAGGATTCCTGCTGAATCAATGGGTCCTCAATGGATTCCTTTCTTCTATTCCTTTCCTTTATAGATTCTTATACTAAAGGAAAAATCTCTACCAATACTAAACAGTTGAAAACAGTCTTTAAGTCTATTTGAGGTCTTTCAGGGGGGGGGGCCTACCGATTAATCAAAGGTTGACATTAACTGATTGCTCACTTTATGCTTGACTACTCCTTTACTTTTCTTGGGTTCTTTCTGATCACCATACACTTTATTACAATATGCCTTTGGTTTCAATCCTATAAAGTGAGTAATTACTTGAGGCCGAGGGTAGGTGACGAAAGCTAGCAGGGATGCATCCGTGTCAGTGGAGGCGAAGCATACAGCGCCGTCCAGTGACAAAGGACTGGTGGGACATCAAGCGAAGCGGAGTGAGGCAAATCTTTTTTCATATGCATGGGGCTGTTGGAGGAATGGTTCACACGGTCTCGCTCATGAGGTAAAACGTTGTGAACAT